ATGTGATTTCTTTATTTCTTTTTTCCTCCAAATGTTTGGAAAGAATTTTCATTTATATTTCAGATCATAATTTAACGTAATATACTTTGCATTACAGATAGTTAGCCCTTTGAAGATGAAAGAACAATTGGTGTCACAATTGAAAACACAAATTGCTGATTTAGAACGTTTTATAAATTATCTTCAAGGAGAAGTGAGTACGGAAACGTTGGCATGCACATGCGCTTGTCCGGTACATACAAATGGTTCTGGCTCATTTAATCATACTAAAAGATTTGGGAAAAGGGCAATAGATAACGAAAGTAAAACTAAAACATTGAATACTGTTAAAAAGGTCGTAACACTCTTACATATGTTTATAATATCACAATTGGGATGTGGTAGCGAACGGGTACGAAGAAATTTGAATAAAAATTCAATATATAATTGGCGTGATTTAAGAACTAGATTAGATATTGCAGTTGAGCACGTTTTAAGTACTATAATAGAAAACGAACATCAGCTCGAGGATGATGACGTAGGTGGTGACGAATACACATCTGATTCGGATTCTGCATCAACTCATTGTAATGCAAAACTAACATCTGCCATAAGGAAGCATCTAGCAGCTTCCATTAGAGATTTGTTACAACATGGTTTAATGTCTGATCTACGTTCTAACAGTGTAGTGCCATTTATGGGATGTTTCCATCAAAGAAGTCCTTCCTCTGCTAATTTTATGCATGCTTGGGAACTTATTTTAAAATATTACGAAATAAAAAATGGCCATTATTATAATTCCAGTCCGGCGCAAAAATTATCGCAAAGCTTTAATTTAGATCTTGTTGGTAAAGCTACATCTGCCAAGCAGGTAAATTTTTTGTTTTGTTCAATCAATTAATAATTAACTAATACAAAAGAATTCTTTAATAATCATAATTGTATTTTAAATATAATTCATTTATTATTTTTAGAGTTTATTAATTACCATAGGGAATATTATTGCTTCGCATAGCCCTTATAAACGAAGTCGTGATTCACATTTTAAAGCATTTATATGTGCAGCTTTAAAGTAAGTAACATTTGTACTATCTCAATTCTTTAAACAAAATATAAAATTGACTTAATTATGGATATCGATTGTATATATTAATTTTTAATTTTAGTGCAAATAAGTTGGTGGTTTGGCTAAAGCTCATTTTACAATGCCAATATCTTTTAGAATGTCATTACACGTCATGGAGTTATGTAGTGAAAACAGGTATATCTAATTCTGTATATCTACTTTGTACATTATGATAATTTTCTCTTTTTTTTCTTCCTTTTTTTTTTTTTTTTTTTTCTTTTTTCTATTAGGATTTCAAGATGCATTTCATACTCTCGACAAACTTACAAGATATAATTTCGATCTGCCAGTTGATTTAGCTGTACGTCAATTTCAAAATATAAAGGACGCATTTTGATTGATGGAAAATAAAGTTACATCGATTACGATCCTTGTATAAAAATATTATAATTATTAATAAGAACAAAAGAAAAAAAAAAAGAAAAAAAAAAAAGAAAAAGAAACGTCATGTGACATTCCTCATATGATAAGTACAATTATAGGTGAAAGATAATATTAGTAGAGTGTATTAATTCAAATAAGTTATTGAAATTTTTTAATCTAAAAGTTATTCCAATCATAAGTATTATCGTGGATTAATTTTTAATCAGTATTTTTTTTTTCTTTTTTTTCTTTTTTTTTTCCATTAGTTCCTATGTGCTCGTAAAAATTCATCATTTATGAAGTCTGCAATAAATATCGAATAATTTCTATCTTAAGATATCATTATAAGAGATAATATATATATATTATCAATATTTATCACATATTATTTAATACATTCCTTTTTTTTTTTCTTTTTTTTTTCAATTTAATTAATTAAGTAATAATCTTTTCGAAAGAAAATTACATTTTATCATTATCAAAATATATGTTATCACAAATATATAATTAATCTGGAAATGGATGTATACAAGTGCCTGTATATATACAGAGCAATCATTATATACAGTGGCTTATTACAATACATATTTGCACGCAGTAAAGTCAAATATAATATGGACTGAATAATACAATTATTAACAGAAATTTATCTTTCCAAATACTTACATTATACGCAATCGACAATTTAATACATGCATTTAGAATATTGCATATATTATTTGCACAAAGTAAGAACAAACATAACAAATAAAAGAATAAGAATTTAAAAAAAAAAAATAAATAAATAAATAAATAAATAAAAAAAAGACATTGCAAATAAACGATCAGTTATATATTCGTAGAAAATCAGAAAAGTAATTTTAATGATGTATTTCATTTGTGTAATAATAAATAGTCATTTATGTTTAATAATGAATTTTAAACCAAATTAAAAACCAAAGAATTATATTTATTTCTTAAAAGTAACATTACAATTATATATGAACAAAATATTATCATTGTCAACCACATTTAGTCTTTAAGAAATTATAATCATTAAATTTTCGAAACTCTGCGAGATATTATTTTATGAGATATTATATTAAATAGATCGTTCAACTAGATTATGTACATATGTAGCCAATATTTTATCAATTTTTTATATAATATCAATATTATGCGATCTACGTATGACAAATTTTACGATTTATTTAAAAAATAACTTTACCATATATAGTTTATTATTTATATATTTGTCAAATAATTGTGTTTCCACGAAACTTATATCGTCTTGTATTCTAAATGAAATCTCTTTTATATAGAATTATCAATTAAGTTTAACATAATGCTCACATATGTACATGTTTATTTTGTTTTTTTTTTTTTAATTGCATACCTTCTTCATTAGTTTATATTACATATAACAAATAATTATTAATTAAAGATGAGGTCTGTCGTTATATCAACTTTTTAAAAAATGTACACAAATTGCATCAATCTTATATAATTTTATCTGTACATATGTGTAGTAATTTTTTGTTGAATATAAGAGAAAAAAAATTTTATCAATTATATCATAAACATCATATATTAATTAATTGATAAGAGCTTTTATCCAAAGGTCTAAATATCTATATAAATTAATTGAATAAATAAAATAAATATCTCTATCTGTAAACTATTAATTCAATATGAAATAAAAATTAATCTTACACCAATTTATGATAATAGATTTATTTCCCAATCTGTTATTGTTCATTATTAGGCTACGAATTAAAATCGAAAACAACAAATATGAAAGTGGTTGTTTATTTTTTTTTTTTTTTTTTTTTTTTTTTTTGTAAAAGTACATCAGTAAAAGTTTGTAGCAGATTTTTTTTCAACATGTTTGTAATATAATATCATTGTTGACTCCGCGATATACATTGACGATGAAAATATTTCATGGATTAAAAAATAAAATGATTAAAATTAATATATACTTATAGCTCTATACAGTATGATAAATATTATAATTATAGCAACAAATGTATCTTTATGATATATATCCTGAATAAATATGTTTAATCTAAATTAAGAAGAAAAAAGAAAGAAAAAAAAAAGAAGAAGTAATGATACTTGTTTAAAAAAAAAAAAAGAGAAAAAAGAAAAGAAATGTTATTGTGTATTGTCGTGGAGTCTCAATGCTTTTACAGATTAAGTAATAGAGTTTGTTGTACATAAAATTCAGAATAGAGTCTACATTGTCAATAACAAATTTGAACTCAACGAATTATACAATACCAGAAGTTTTTTGGTCAGAGACAATACGCTTACAAATGTGTATTATCTTTTTTTGTTTTTTTTTTTTTTTTTTTTTATATCGTATTACATAGATTTTTTTCTACTTATGCAGGATACAAGTACATGGATGTTATAAGAGCACAGAATCGGTGTCTTCCCCCTTTTTCATGTACAAAAATGTATATAAAAAGGTATATGGAAGAGCTTTAGTTCCATTATTATTATTATCTTGCATCTTATTACTTTACTTATTGTTACATGCGATGATACATGATGTACTTGTTAGAACATACACATATTACACATTCTTAATACTCAACAAATATTAAGGTATATGCGAATCAATACATCTTGTGTATAAACATCTATCGTAAATACATTATTGTGTTATAGTAGAAAATAATTTAGATGTGTGACCTAAAGATCTGATGTATTTATATTTATATACGTAAAATATATTAATATAAATTGTTTGAAAATTATTATAAAATATGTATAAAATGCACAAAGAAATCTCTCTAAAAATATTCATTAATTGATGGATTCTTGTTGGAATGTCAGTGTAATAATAGCACTTTGTTCAATTTAAATAAAATATTATTTAAAAATATTATCAGAAGAAAACAGTATTTAAGGAAAAAAGAAAAAAGAAAAAAAAAAAAAAGGAAATATATCTAGTAGTGATTACCACTATATTTAATATTTAATATTATAAAAAAAAAAAAAAAAAAGAAAAGAATGTATAAAATTTTACTTATCTGTCGTAAAAAAAAAAAAAAGATATAATATGAAAGAAGTAGTCAGTAATTATTATTAACAAATTAATTATAATACGTTTTTAGTTGACATTTTGGAAGTCTATAAAAAACATGTATAACAAATAAGTGTACATGTGTCATTAAACAAGTAATACGTTAATTAAATAATATTATATGATTTAAACATTCATTATATTGTTTTACAGTACCGTAATATAATTTACTTTCAAAATTTTACATATAACAGTATACTCACTTACATACATGTTCTCTTTGGTTCAACATTCCTCATAGTAATTTTCCTTGACATAATTCTTATAGCACACATTAAGTTATATTTTTGTTATAGCAACGATCTAATATATTTAACAAGAAAAAAATTTGAGTATAGATCAAAGCATTGGGAGCTAATTTAATATTATCACAAAGGACAAAACCATAAAATGCACAATCAAGTTTTATATTGCGAATTTTCTGGATCTCTATATTTTACTAACAGGTCTTAAAAATAATTTTTTTTTTTTTTTTTTTTTTTTACTTTGGTCATATATCTTTTTGTTCAGTCTTAAGTTTATTTAGTTCAGAGTATAAATTAATAGATCTTGCGTTATATCTCTGTTTTATCTGTTCTGTATATAATTATATTATTAAAATAATCTTTTTAAATAAATGAAAATGGAATGTATGAGCATTCCTTTGAATTAATGTACATGCATACATATACTCATGTAACTTGCAAGTAAACAAAAAAAATGCATTTAATGTTCATGCATATATGTATACGCACAAATTCAATTTGAGTATTTATGAAACTATATATATATATATATATGAAATTATATATATATGAATCATGAAGCATTACTTTTTGCACAATATTGGATTATGATTGACATACTGTTCTGGAATGTTTGCATAAATATATATATAAATCTGCATAGCAAAACATATAAAGATATAGAAAATGTAAATATATTAGGGCATTTTCCTTTTACAATCATCCTAAAACATTTGTATAATATTTATGGTTATTTACGTGTATTCGCTAAATAATAGCCGCTCATATTTATGATATCACACCACTGATTATAAATATGAATAGTTAGGACAATAGAATGTTACATGTGAAATTAAAAAAAGATTTCCTATTGCAATAATGATTTAATGGAGCTGATCAATCCCACAAGAATCTTTTCAGTCCTTGCAATTATTAATATTTTAGAATTTTAAACGATATTTCAAGCATGTATGTTTAATTCAAATACAGCATTTTTTTTTCTTTTTCTTTTTTTTTTTTTTCATTATGTAAAGATATAGAATTATTTCTATACGTCTACGCCATTAGGATATTAAATTACTTTTTATCCAGAAAACAATAAACGTATGAATTAGTTTTTGCATGTACTCAAAAGCATTCTGCTAATGATATTCTCAGATCAACATAGTTATTACTAATATATGTAATAGCCACATTTTTTTTTTCTTTTCTTTTTATAAATATTCTTAGCGATATGCCATTAACGTGACATAACAAATATAACAAAGAAGGCCTTTGTATGTAACATTTACATTTTAATAATTACTTACCTTTAATGTGGAGTAAGTAATATATTAATTATTACATATACACACATATATATATATATGTATATATACATATGCATATGTATACATATACATATATATATATATATATAATTAATCATGCGCTACTCGATTTTTATTCAGACATGAATGCGCAAAGCCACACTATCCTTTTTATTTTCTGCTTCTATTTCGTGTTTTATTGTATCGAGTCGTTCATAAATTGCTCTAAATGTAGGCCTGTCGGATGGTCTTCTATTCCAACAAAGTTTCATTAATTCGTATATTGATAAAGGTGTATTATCAGGACATTGAAGAACATTGCCTTCTTTGATGTACTTAACAACTTCTTCATGAGTCATTCCATAATATGGTTGAAGCGCAAAACTAAAAATTTCCCACAAGCATACAGCAAAAGCCCATACATCAGATTCAACAGTGTATTTGTTATAAAGTATGCTCTCAAGTGGCATCCATCTAACTGGAATAGCATCCTGTTCGTCGCCTTTATAATAATCTTGAAGATATATTTTTTGTGATAATCCAAAATCCGCAATTTTCACGATCATTTGATCGTTTATTAAACAATTTCTAGTTGCAAGGTCACGATGTACAAATTTTCTGTCCGATAAATATACCATTCCAGATGCTACTTGCAAAGCAATATTAATTAAATCCATATGCGATAATTGAGAGTCTGTGAATGTACCATCTCTCTCTAAGCTTCGAATAATGTAATTCCCGGGCGAACATGAGCGTAGGAATTCATTTAAATCACCACGTCCCATATATTCAAATAGGAGACACATTGGACGTCCTAATGCACACACACCCAACAATTTAACAATATTTGGATGATTAAATTCTGCAAGCAAACATGCTTCTCTTTCAAAATCTACGAGCAAATCATCTGATGCTTCCTCCTTTAACATTTTTACCGCAACGTTTGTGAATTCTTCACCTGGCACAAGACCAGGTGCTTTTGCCTGAAATACTCGACCAAAGGCACCCTGACCTAAATCTCGTACATAAATAATATTATTTCGTGGAAATTCAAGTTTCTCCAATTTTGGATTAAGCTTTGCACTTGTTTTATGGTATGCTTCATTGCTTGGCAATTTGTCCAAATCAATGTTAACATCCTGCAAATATATTATATAGAAAGTATGGCCATTTTTTTTTTTATTTTATTTTACCACTGTATATAAATATATATAAATATATATACCTGACTTTCAGTTGGATTATATCCTTGATGTCTTTTATGAAGTCTTCGCCTTAAAAGTATAAAAAGTACAGTCCCAGCAATGATTATAAATCCCAATGAAGATAGTGCTAATATAAATGATGGAGTGATAATTGTATATATTGTCAAATCTTTTGGATCAATTTCAATTATTGTATCTGTGGTATTATCTGTACAATTAAAATATTAATTAAATAATGATACTTTTTTTTACGTTTATAATGATAAAATTATAATCAAATAAATTTGCTTTTTTTACATAAACATTTTACCACATATAGGAATATCACAATGTTGCCAGCGTGTCTCAGGATCCATAGTGAAACACCATGGCATAGATTCAATCCCATCTACATTTCTACAATAATTTTCATCCTTTTGAATTTGTGGAAAAATATTTGGTGGTTTATCATGATTATGTGGAACTTGAGCACTCCATGGTTGACAATCTAATCCACCTTTTGTTTTATTCAATATTCCCATGTAATATCTACCATTACCTTTGATACAGTCATCTAAAATATATATTTCAAATAAATATTTTCAATATCAGAGTTACATATATATATATATATATATATATATTTGATGATAAGACTCACTTACAAGTGACAAGTTCTTCTTTTATATCAGTTAAATGGGCCTCAGAGCAAGTGACTTTCCCTTTGACTATTCTTGGTAAACTTTGACAGTCTGGTAAACTAAAATGGCCACGTGACCTGATATAAATACCTTTTTGCTTTTGGTCCTCAATTATTATCCATTTATTGAAACAAAAATGATGTACTGCTACACAATCCTCATAACACAATGGCAGTCCTTTTGATTCGTGGCACCGTGGAAAGGCATATAAGCATAGCATTTGCTATAACATAAAAAACCATGCTTATATCTTTTCATCGAAGAATAAAAAATTAATTTGTTATTTAACAAATATATAATCGGATGAAATACAAAAGTACAAAATTTATATAGTTGTATAATTGTTATAAAAAAAAGATATACTTACTTCAGCCGCTGAACGACATGGTTCTACAAGAGTTTCTATTATTTCTTCCCATAAATCAGTTGTTATTTGTTCGTTCAACTCTCCACCAGGATTATCAAATGAACTATTAAACCATACTTTTCCAATCCCTGTGAGATATTTTTTGCATATTTTACCATTATAAAGGGCACAATTACTTTGTGGTACTAGCTCTATAAAAGATAATAATAATCTTACAATATGATGCTCAATATAAAATAATAATAATAATAATAATAACAATATACATTGAATGATTATATATTTAAAAAAAGATACATACTACTTTGTACAATAGTAATGTGCAAAACAATTGCCGTGAAGGAAATAATCCAAAGCACCATTATTTAAATACAATAATACAATGTTACACGCGAAGAAGAAAGATTACATGTTTAAGAAATAATTCTTTTACACGATGATTTTTTCTTTATCGAATTCACTTAATTCACCTCGTGTCGCGTAGCACATTTCTAAATTAACGTTGAGATTAAACATTTTCTTTTTCTTCTTTTTTTTTTTTTTTCTTTTCTTTTCCTTTTTTCTCCTTTTCTTTCCCAAAATATTTTTATTTACATATTTATTGCGAGCACAAAAGAACACTATTCGAAAAAATAATAACAATAAAAATACTTTTATTCATGAGATATACCGTCATCAATGGAATTTGACTTGTGACGTTAAATCAACACGAGGTACACATTTATTTTCTAAAACTGACCAATATATATACATATGTATATATATATTATATATATATATATATATAAATATGTAAGTATATAATAAGTATATCAATTTAATTATATTTGTAACTTTAAATGAATATCATTCATTTCTATTGGTACGTGATAATAATAAACATTTGATTTTGTATTTTTTTTTTCGAACAGAATCTAATTAGCTGCTAGTTGCTACCCTTCCACTGACTTCAATCTGTTCAATGATCCGTTACTAGCAGTTACTAGTAGTCCATAGTGGTACTATAGTCTTTATTATACTTAAGCTTAGTTTGCAACGTATATGTATGTTAAATTAATAAGAAAACAATTTCAAGAGAAATGAAACAATTTATATATTTACGATATTAATAAAATAAAATATTCTCATATTCAATTAATTTTTATTTATTATACAATTATTATAATTAATATTATTATAATTTATATATAAAGTTATGCTTGTATGAACCTGTGTATGTGTATGGTGTATGTGTATGTGCATGTGTATGGTGTATATGTATGTGTATGTGTGTACAGTTTTATAATTTCACACACAGTTATAAAATTCAATTCTTTCATTTTAACTCGTGTAGAATTTTTTTTTATAAAATATTATAACTTTCAATTTATAGATAAATGAATATTACGATATGTGAATAACTTTAAATTATATTTTTTTTTAATTAATAAATAAATGAATTTTTATTGGATAGTTATAATCGACTTATCCAATAGGCCGTATGCTTTAATAAATATATATATATATATATATATATATATATATATATATATATATCTCAGTTAACTTATGATTCACATGTTCTGTTTTTTATTATTCTATTAATTAATTGAACAAAAATATTTTATTGCTTCAGTAATATTATTATCAATATAATTTTCTTTTTTTTATTTCTTTTTTTTTTTGGTAACTCTGTAACTTAAAATAAAGAAACTTCTTTTTCCTTTTATTTCATAATAAATTTATCATAGCATAGATCAAATATAAAGTTGAATAGAATTTAATAATAATTATTGTTCAATTATATAAATTTGTAACCTTACTTTGATATAAATAAATAAACCAAATATACCAGCTGTGAATAATACAACAAATTCATTCAATTGTTCAATAGAAAAGGGAAAAATAGAATATTGATATAAGATATCAATTTGAAAAATTTGCTCCTTGATATTTTTTTTTTTTTCTTTTTTTTTCTTTCATTCACTTACAAAGAACTCTTATCAGAGATAGAAATAGAACTATTGTTGATTGACTTTTGCAATGTAAAAATATTTCTTCTAAATGGATTGGTAATTTTTGAACAACTTGATTTGTTCATAGGAGTATCATAGATTTTATTTTTAGAATATCGACCAGTGATGTATTTATTATTAGTTAAGGATGGTGTCGCAGTAATTACTTTACTGTCAGTTCTATGCATTTTCACAAACATAAGTTGTTTGTTTAAACTTTCAAAATGTTTCTTTAGATTGTAATACTCATGAGCAATTCGTTTTTCATTTCTTACAGCATTAATATAGCGATCTTTTAAAATTTCATATTTATCATTCTAAAATATTTGAATGATATGTAAAAAAAAAAAAAAAATAAAAAAAAAAGAAAGAAAAAAAAAGGAAAAAGAAAAAGAAATGAATAGCATTATTATTTGTCAAATGGAATAATACAAAAAATAAAACTTACCAGTTGATAAAAGCATTGCAATATTACGTTTATTTGTTCTGATTGGAATATTGTTATAGACTTTACTGATGTTAAAATATCATTCAATGGTGCAAAAAATCTTGATACTTCTGGCGTTAGAGGTTTTGTAAGTGACACGGTCACAATTTTTGTAGACTTACATTCAGGGCATTCATCTTTAATTATAAAAAAAAAAAAAAAAAAAAAAAAAAAAATTCATATTTCTTAAATATTTCTAAGAGTTATAATTTTATAAGATAAAGTATTATAAGTTTACCTTCTCTTATGCAGTTATAACAAAAAATGTGTCCACATTGAGTCAATCTAAAGTTAAGATCTTTATCACTCTGCGTGGAATAACATTTATTACAAATATATTGATCCATTATTATTTTTAATTCTAATAATTTTTATTATGAGCAAAATGTGACAAGAATTGGCAGAAGAAGGAACTACGAAAGTTGGTAAAAAAAAAGAAAAAAAAAACAAAAGTTAATCTTACAACAGACACATTTATTTTTATTTTTAATTTGTAATTTGTAATATTAAACATTCATATAGATTATGTTCTTTTATCGAATTTTAAATTCATTTATATTTTCGATATTCAACAAGGTATAATCATAAATTCGAGAATCGCAGTGAAAAGAAAATCGAAAGCAATCGAGAAATGAATCGAGATATTTTTAATAAACTGAAGTTGTTCACATTTAGATTAGTTCATATTTCGTTCGAAATATATTTTATAATATTTTTTTATAAATAATACTAAATGACATTATACGAGAAAAATTCAAAAAGTTTTGCTGAAAAGCATGTATTATTTACATCTATACTTGTAAGCGATATTTTCTTTCAATGATCATGTTATATTACATTAGCCGCTGTATAACCTATACACATGTTTTAATAAAATTACAATATGTTATATGTTGTAAATAAATTACTTAATAATAATTAAGTAATAATGTTACGTGCTTGTTAATATATTATTTATATTTTTATATTACAAAACTTTTTTCTTATATAAAAAAATCGTTGATTCTTGGTTGTTTATAATAGGCAGGAGCTAGTGCAGGTATATGTGTGGATACTGTTTTGTTTCCTTTAGATACCATTAAAACTAGATTACAAAGTCAATATGGATTTTTACAATCAGGTGGTTTTAAAGGACTTTATCGTGGTTTATATCCTGTATTGATTGGTTCTACGCCAACCGGTAAATAATTAACATCCTTAGAAATTATAAATTTTATATCAAAATAATGTCCAATTAATGTCTATTACAGCTGCATTATTTTTTGTTACTTATGAAAATATAAAAGTATATACTAAACCTTTGGTATCTAAAAGGTATCATTCTTTAATACATATGGGGGCAGCATCCCTATCGGAAATGGTATTTATTTTTTCATCATTATATTTTTATCATTTATAGAATTAAATAAATATTTGCTAATTGTTAGAAATTGATATTTTTAAACAAAGGTAGCATGTATAGTACGCGTACCTGTAGAAGTTATGAAACAAAGGAAACAGGCTTTGTTATTAGATAAGGGCAATTTCAGTATAAAACTTTTATACCGTGGTTATTGGAGTACCGTATTAAGAGATATGCCATTTAGTTTAATACAATTTCCATTATGGGAATATTTAAAAAATATTTGGTCTCTTTACGTCAAAAGAGATATATATCCTATTGAAAGTGCAATATGTGGATCATTGGGAGGTACGAATATTTCAAAATTATTTATAATGTCATAAACAAATATAAATTGATAGTAATAAATTATAATTTTATAGGAGCTTTCTCAGCAGCTGTAACAACTCCATTGGATGTTGCAAAGACAAGAATAATGTTAGCTAATAAAATGATACAAAGTTCCGAATTGAAATTATCTACAACATTACGTTCAATATATATCGAGAAAGGCATAAATGGGTAAAAAATTAACTTTTTCAAATGAAATATATATTTTTAATTAATCGGCAAATTATTAAAATATATTACAGCCTTTTCGCAGGTGTCGGTTATAGAGTAATGTGGATTAGCATAGGTGGTTTTATATTTTTTGGAGTATACGAAGAGGCAAAATTATTAACATTAAATGCGTTAGCATTTATGACTAAAGAGAAAAAGGAACGTATAATTATTTCCAGCTAATATGGTTAGTATAAAAAAAAAAAAAAAAAAAAAAAGAAAAAAAAGAAAAAAAAAAGAAAGAAAAAAGAAAAAAAATATTATACTACACAAATTCCATTTAAGAGATCAAGATTTATGACTTTCTTTGGGATAATGTAATAAATTAACATGAATCATTTAAAATGGGAAAGATAAGTTAATAAAAAAAAAAAAAAAAAAAAAAAAAAAAAATGTCATTGAACGAAAGTTTTAATCTGTAAATTAATCTATTTGTATTTATTATTTCGTATCTTTCTCGTTTCTTATCTTAAAAGTGATTGAAGATTATCATCATTCGTAAAAAAAAAAAAAAAAAAAAAGTTTGCAATTAAATATGAAATTAAAGTAATTGTTTTCAATTGATAAAAGAGATCAATAACGCGGTAAAGATAAAAAAGTTTTTTCAAAAAAAATTTATATATAATATAAATTATATGTAGATATATATATATATATATATATTCGTTAGATAAGATAATAGAATAATAATAATAATAATAATAATAATAATAATAATAATAATAATAATAATAATAATAATAATAATAATAATAGTAGTAGTAATAATAATAATAATAACAAGAATAAAATAATAAGTGATAGAAATACTTGCGATAATTATTGTGTCGTATTCAAGCACAATGACAATAATGCGTCCTTCGAAGTAAGTATAAGGATACGCATATAATGTAGGTACAGTGTAATATCGGTAAAGAGACAAACGGCGTGCCGGTGGTGTAGGTGCTCGTGGAGGGGATCATGGTGTTAGCAAGATCCGTGGTCGGATACGCGTGGAAGATCCGCGTTCAGTCGATGCGTGCGAGCGGACCGAGTCGGTCGTTCTCCCGCGATCGTTTAGCCCTTACACGACTGTTCCCTCCTTTTCGCTCGTTCGCACCGCGCTCGTCATTATCGCCGTCGTCATTTATTATTTAGATCGATCGATCGATCGCGCGATCTCTAATTTCGTATTACATTCTCTTTTGTTGTTGTTTTCGTTTATTTTTTTTTTTTTTTTCTTCTCACTCGTCATCCTCTCTCGTCTTTCATCGAACAAAAATTATTCCTTCAAGAAATCATTGAGATAGAGATAGATATATATATAATTATATACATAGAGAGAGAAAAAAGAGAGAGAGAGAGAGAGAGAGAGACAGAGAGAAAGAAAGAAACAGAAAAAGGGAAGAAAAAAGAAGGAGGAAAAAAGAAAAGAAAAGAAAAGAGTAAAACAAAGAACAGAAGAAATTATTTCTCTCTGTTATATATATATATATATATATATATATATATATATATATATATATACACACTAAAGATCAAAACGAATTGGTATACTCGTAAAACAACATTTTCATCTTTCTTTATTACACTTCGATTGGATTTTCCGATTTAATAAAAAAAAAAAGTAAAAGAAAAGAGGAAGAAGAGGAGGAAGAAGAAGAAGAAGAAGAAGAGGAAGAAATCGCTTTGATCGTCATCGTCATCATCATCATCTCGAGCTTTTCTCTCTCTCTCTTTCTTTCTTTTCCTGCCTCTCTTTCTCTCTCTCTCTCTCTCTCTCTCTCTCTCTCTCTCTCTTTCTCACTCTCTCTCTCTCTCTCTCTCTCTCTCTCTCTCTCTCTTTCTTTCACACACACACACACACACAAGAGCAAGACATTCCAACACTGTGTAAACTTTCGACACGGTCTCTTCAAGTGTATTCTCATCTCCTAGCTTTGATTCTGTGAGATTTATTCAGGTAAGCCTTTTTTTTTTCTTTTTTTTTCGTCTTTTTTTGTTTTTTTTTCTTTCTTTTAGTCACTTTGTGTCACCTTTTTTCTTTTCTCTTCTTTTCTTTTCTTTTCTTTTCTTTTCTTTTCTTTCGTCACTTTCCGTCGAGCTCTCCTTGAAATCGACGAATTATATTACAACTAATCTCAATATTATTTTTATGTTATTTCATTTATTTACATTTCTTTCGCTTTTAACGTAGGTACAATTTATTCGATACGATTAATTCATTAATTCATTCATTAATTCATTAATTCATTAATTCATTAATTCATTTATTTATTCATTCGTTCATTCATTCATTCATTCATTAATGTTTATTATCTTTTTATGTTCTGTCTCTATCTTATTTCTTTTTTATTAAATAAATAAAAGAAAATATATATATATATATATATATGCACACATACATGTGCATACATTACATACACAAACATATATATATATATATATATATATATATATATATATATATATAGAGAGAGAGAGAGAGAGAGAGAGAGGACTGTCAAAATAGTATTTTGTAAAAGAATTTTTACTATAAAAGAAAAAAAAAGGAAAGAAAGAAAACCAAACAATAAAGATATAAATGTAAAATCGAACAAACAAATTAGTAAATAGCTGTGATCGCTTATGTACGCACGCACACGTACGCGCACATACATACATACATACATACATCCATATATACATACATACACATATATATACATATACTAAACTAAATTGAGGAAACGAATCGTATCTAATTAAAGAATCTATCTATCTATCTGTTCTCCTTTCTTCTTCTTCCTTCTTTTCCTCCTCCACCAACACCACCTCCTCCTCTTCCTCCTCCTCCTCCTCCTCCTTCTCCTCTCCTCGTCTTCTTCCTCTTTCTTTTATTTTATTTTCTTTTTCGCGCGCGTAAAGTAACGACGCGATTCGATTGGAAGGCCGTACGAGATCGACCTCGAATTTGCGAGTAACGAGATAAATCCGACCTTCGTTATCGTAAGTTGGGAATGTTACGTTATATAATTTTTGTATTTGCTATTTTTAGGTGTCTGCAGGCCAACTACCGTCAAATTCGTGCAGACTCGTATAGTCTCTCTCTCTTTCTCTTTCTATCTTTCTCTTTCTCTTTCTATCTTTCTCTCTCTCTCTCTCTCTCTCTCTCTATATATATATATATATATATATATATATATATATATATATATTTATATACATATATCTTTTTTCTTTCTTTCTTTTTGCAAGCGTGCAAGCGCCATTTCTTTTTTCAAATGTCTTAGATCGATACGAATAATCTCATTGATCGAGATCGACTACGATAGATAGATCGTCTCCTTTTATTTTTCTTCGAGTTTTCTTCCTCGGGAAGAAATTAAACAAGGAAGATAAAAGAAAAAAGAAAAGAAAGAAAATAATTATGTAAAGTATTGGACACCTTTCTCTTATCACTTTTTTCGAATTCAAAATGTCTACACGTATGTGTGCGTACATATATCTACATACTTATACATCCAATATATATACATATATATATATATATATATATAACATTGGAGTAATTTTTTAGTCAATTTTTAGAACATCATTTAAACAGTAATAAAGATTGTTTGTTAAAAAAAAAAAAATAAAAATAAAAATAAAGAAAAATAGGAAAGAAAAAGAAGAACAAAAATAAAAAAGAAATATATTTTGCTATCACCGCCGAACACGCGAATGTCATGCGTGTGTGTGTATGTATGTATGTATGTATGTATGTATGTATGTATGTATGACAAACACGAAATACACGCACACATACGCACAGAAATGGAGGAGGGTAAGAACGTTCGCGTGCATTTTGATGCCGCAGAACTCGCCTAGTACTCTCTCTCTCTCTCTCTCTCTCTTTCTCTCTCTCTCTCTTTCTCTCTGTCTGTCTCTCTCTTTTTCTTTATTCCTTCTTCAATCGCCTTGACTTTCAACGGCTCCGTAGTCTCCGTAAGCGACGTATTCGTCCTTAATTTTGCATTCCGTAACGATACGAGTTAACAAGTAGGAATCAGTCATCGATCTCTAGATCAAAAATGTCGTTCGTCCAGTCAATCTTGCAAAAAAAAAAACAAAAGAAAAAAAAAAACAAAAAAGAAAGAAAAAAAAAGTAAATAAATAAATAAAAAATAAAAAAGAGAAAAAAAAGGCCGATTGATCGATCGACCAAATCGAATATACAAGTTAATCATACACACACACACACACACACACACATATAATGTGTGTGTGTGTGTGTGTGTGTATTAATCGTCTTTGTTTTATTTGTTAATATTCGAAAGAAAAAGAGAAAGAGAGAGAGAGAGAGAGAGAGAGACAAAATTAATTATCTATGTTGTCCGTAGATGTAAGAATTTAAAAAAAAAAAAGAAAAAAAAAAGAAAGAAAGAAAAGAAAAGAAAGAAAAAGAGAAAGAAAAGGAAGAAAAAAATAGATTCACGTCAATCAAGTAATTTTTGTAATTATCATTATTGCAATATATTTATGTTAGCGAATTGTCAAAAAATCGATCGATCGATCGATCGATCAAATCGATTACCCAAGATAAATCACGTATATTTACATATACATGTCGAATCGTCTTTGTTCGTTTGTTAACACGTTCGAGAAAAGAAAAAAGAAAAAAAGAAGAAGAAGAAAAAAAAAAAGAAAACATGAAACGAGCAAAAAAAAAAAGGAAAAAGAAAAAAAAAGTAGGTTCGTGCCGAGGGAGCAATTTTTGTTTCAACATTTTGCAATAGACTTTACATTTGAAAACTCGACTCTTGTTATTGCAAGAGGAAGGAGGAACAATTTACATTAATGATCTTCGATCTTATGATTAGCTGTCAATGATCGCAAAGGTGTATAATCAATACTGATAATCTTTCTTTCATGAGAGTACGTAGGCGTTTAACGTGGGTAGTGTTAATTGTCCCGTTTGTTAAAATGTTAGAAGAAAGGATTTTAAAAGATTCTTATAAACAAAAATATATATATATATATATACACATATACATATCTACGTATATATATGTGTATATTATTAATTTAATTGTTAATAATCGATTTATTGAATATTAATAATAAAAATGTTACGTTGAAAGATTTCTAAAATTTAATAAAAACACATAATCATATATATATATATATATATAACATTAATTAACTATTTAATACATAATTATTTTAATTCTATCGCATACAAAATGATAATTATTATCATCTATGGGATATCCATAGTAAA